GGAAAAACAATAAAATAAAAAACAATAAAATAAAAAGTTATAAAATGAAAAAATAAAAAATTAAAATGTAGTTACAAAAAGGTTTTAAGATCTAAACAAGCTCAATCAACCCCCTTTTTTTCTTAAATTTTCCAAAAATTTAAAACATTTTTGGTTTGTTAATTCTTGTTAAATATTCATAAACTTAACAAAAACTTCAAATTATCAAAATTATAAATTCTCCTGAGTCTCATATAAATTTTTTGAAAATCAATAATTTGAAAGTAAAACAAAAGACTATAATCTCACTTTTATGAATAACAATAAAGCATTTTGTGCCAGCTTTTAAATTCGAAATTCACAGTTCAATTTGCGACGCACCCAAAAATTCCATGGTACAATTGACAGAATTTGCAAAGAAACATAATGACTAACCTACAAAAGTTTTTTTTTTTTTCTCCATTTTCGATAAGAAGTCATTATTATTAATGGCAGTAGCTATGCTGTGGGATTTTTTTTATTAAGAATAATCTGTTGCTGAGCACAAATAAAAGCAAAAAAAAACTTTTATAAATAATAACACCTTACCTGACAGGAGATTGATTAAAACTTTATGCTAATGGTCTAGCTACCAGTCGCATTTGATGTTTTCAATAGTAAGGAGATCAACGGAATCATTGTAATGAACGCAGACTTGATGTGTAGTGCTAATCATTATTACATCAATCGTATTCCGACGTATATTCCATTAAATGCTTCGTTCCTTTTAATCAACGACACATAACTACATTAATTAGCGATCGGGCTCGAATAATTGACTAATGTTGACGTTGAGATGTGTAATTTGAAGTCGGCTACTCTAATCTTAGATTTTAAATGCGATCTCTTTAAGTTGTGCTGAGTGTTTAATAAAATTTAAAGTGATTGCATAAAATTAACGCTCAGCGTCATGAAAGTATTCAGAAAAATATTTCTCGTTAATTTATTTTTTAAAAAAACCTAATGGACTTAAACATTTTATAGTTTTTTTTAATATGAATTACAAAGCATAACTGGCAATGTCATGACACAATTCTTCTAACAAATGTATTAATATAACTCATAAAAGAATTACATATTCCGTAATTCTTGAAGTTTGAAGCTGAGATGTGCAATTTGAAAGCGGGAACTCCAAATTTAGATTTTAAATGTGATCTCTTTAGTACTGTGTGTTAAATAAAATAATACTACATAAATAAACGCTTACAGCAACAAAAATATTGAAAAGTTTTTTTTAAAAATTTTTATTTGAAAAGAAATGCTGAATTCATAATTTTATATATTTATTTTTTTATTATGACATAACATAACTGACTTATGGCAGAATTCTCGTAACCAATGTCTTAAAATAATCCTTAAATGAATTAAAAGTGACAAATAAGAGAATTAGATAAGACCATAACATAACCCATACGGTACTATCATTTTCTAAATATAAATCACATAGCATAAGTGATAATGTCATGATATAATTCTTCTTACTGAGACATAGCATAACCCATGAATAAATTACAGATTCTATAATTCTTGTAGTTAATGTTTAAGTTGAGTGTAATTGGAAAGCAGGAACTCCAAATCCAGATTTTAATCAGATTCAAATTCAGATTAACTTCTAAATGTAGTTTTATTTTTAAATTTTGATTCTAACAACAATCGGCGTGTTTTTTAAAATAAAATATCGGTTGAATATTTTTAAGCTCTGAAATGTACCATAAATATCATTGTATACTTTTAAGTATATAACCAGTAAAAAATAGAAAAAAGTATAACTTTTGCACTGCGCACAGTGTTTAAACTTTTTCACTTCAAGCCTCTACGTCAGGGGAAACTCCATGGACGTTTTCCTTCCTCAAATAAATACAGGTCCCACGATCCCCAAGCAAGCTTACGCATTTTCATCTTATTATGTTATTTGTTTCTCTTTCTCTCTCTTGCTCTGTTTGTTAGTTTGTTAAATTAATTATTTTGAAAGCGTAATATTTATTTTGCGCTGTGTAGCTGCTCTCGGCTTTTGTTCCATTTAGCCGTGGTTCTATATTGCACCTTAGTGTCATAAAAATTTACTATAATCTTAAAAAAGTGTTAAATTAAAAATTCTTTTTTTTTGTTAGAAAAAAAGAAAAGGAACGACATTTAGGAACAAGTTTTTAAGTTTAAAATGTAGTTATGAAGTCATGAAGTATATTGACTGCTTAAAATGATTGATAGACACTAATATATATATATTTTTTTTTTTTTGCTTCAAATGCCGCGTGCGTGAAAGGCTCTTTTAAATTCTTCCTATAAGTTCTTGGAAGTGCGATAAATATTATTATTGAGCAGCTTGATCGAACTTTTTAAAAGTATGACGTAAATGATCAAAATCATTCATTAAGAGATATGACTGGAATTTTCTGACAGTGAACGCTGCTTCATATCAGGTAACAGTAAAAAGTAATGACGTCGCGTTACTCTCTTTCCCTGTTTATTTTTGCGTATCGGTGACGTCATTGTTTTTTTAATTCTCAGTTGGCCATCTCCCAATATCAGTATTTAGGAAAAGGATACATAGTGAAAAGTGAACACAAAAAATAAATAAATAAATTTGTAAATTTTAAAAATTATTGTTTTTGTTCAAAAAATAATATCGTTCTCAGAGTGAAGAGACTCCTAAAACATTTTCAAACGAATTTTTAACCATGGCCTTACAGGCCTCTATTTGAAAGGATCCCTCCTCTACAATGAACCGCATTGAAACATTAATGTACCTAGAAAAGCAAGCATGGTCAAAACTACCAGATAATGGTAAAATTTAGAGTGTTTCTGGCTCTAAGGGAAAAACCAAAAGTTTGGTAATTTTTATCGAAGCACTTATTAACAATAAGGTATTGTTTTACAAAATGTAATAAAGTTTGGTAAAGGCGGTAATTTTTCCATGATACTTTAAAGCATGAGATGAAAATTATTTATTCGGCTAATTACTTTTCAGTTTCGTTTTTTTTATAGATAAATTTGAAAACCAATGAACTGAAAAATTACCTAATGAATGGACTAAATACCGTATATTTAAGTATTTTTAACCAAAACGATGTATTTTTTTTTAATAAAAGAAAAGAAAAAAAAGCAGAAATTTCATTCATATAGTAAAATTTTTATCCTTTATTAACTTATCCTTTATTAAAACTTTTTATCCGTTATTTTGTAGTTTATTTTGCTTCAAACCAAGTTTAAGCGTCATTTTTTTAGTATAAATAAATGATATTTTTTGTGCTTGATACTATGGTTTCCAGTGAACAGGAAAAATGTTGAACCATAACATTTTATATCTTTTAAACATGTTATTAAAATTACTGCTAATTTGGACGAAAGTATGATTCAAGGTATCAATGTGAAACAGATTTTTTTCAGGGTAATTAATGATAAGTAAAAAAAATTGAGGAAATTAAATATGTTTTCAAATTAAAATAATTGGCAAGTTTCGGCCCTGTTTTTAATATTTTTTAGTTTGTTGACTGTTAAAATTATGATTACATTTTTTAAATTATCATACTTAACTAGTAATTCAAATATGTTATGTTCAAAAATAGAATTGAAATGATAAAAGCTTAATAAAATTTCGTATTAAATTAAATCAAAACGTTATTGTAAAATATTGTAAGAAAAATTTTAAAAAAAAACGACAATTTGATTTTGTGTAAATTAAAGAGAGATTGAGAAGTGCGCAGATAAACGAAACTTTTTAAAAAATAACCATAAAATCTCATTATCTAAATAACAGTTAAATCTCATTATTTAAACGACTTCTTTGTATAATTAGAATACTTTTAAGGTGAACATATGTCACTGGCTTTCTTGTTCAGTTAAAAATAAGAATAGCAAATAAAATATATAAGTAAATAAACTATATAAGTAAATAAACTATATAAGTAAATTCTGTAGGTTTAAAAAAAATTCAAATTTATTTAATTTTTCATTTCTAATAAAAAAAAATTTCAGAAATTGCAAGCATGTCAGAATTTTTTATTTACTAAATTTATGTTCTAAAATTAGTTTCGGGAAGTGTTTTGCTGATTCACTAATCCTTATGTAATCTCATTTGCGTTTCTTTAAATGATTTATTACCTACCATTATCTTTCATGACCCTGCAGTTTATTGAAAAGTTTACTATTTTTTGTAATGCCATAACATATTTTTTTTATTTCACTGACTGAAAAGAAATTTTCTCGAAGACGAATAGGAAGTTCCAAGTTTCATTTCCGGTTACATCATTATTCGAATCCTCACGATTTACAAGTGATTCAAATCAGTTAATTTCATTAAAACTTCGTGTGGTACATCCGTGTAAGATATATTACCGTGTGAGTGTTATAAATAAGTCTGCCAATATATTTCTCAGGGAGTAATGCAAGTAAATATATTAAAGAGTGTGGTAATATATTTTACATATAATTGACAAGAGTTATATTAAGTATAATCTATTTAAGAGTAGTAACTTTTTTTGCAGTCGAGACGTTTATGCCACTTTATCGAAATTTCCATAAATGTCCTTTTTTATTCATTAATAAAGTTGATAAAACAATAAAAAATACTGAATAAATACATATAATTAATAAATGAATTATTATTGTACCACTTTCTCCGAAATTTCACCAACATCCTCTTTCCCAAAATATACAATAACATCATTTGCCATGCCTATTACTCAACTATATAATTCAATAAATTATACATAATGGTCATACTGATGGAAAAAAATGGCAGGTTTTCAAACATTGTTTAGGAAGTTCGTTTGCGTTACATCTTTTTGTTTATTTTTGCCTAATTAGAATCGAAAGGTGCTCTCGAAACCAGCGGGGCTTTTTATGGCCGCATTAAAAAAGCATCTACTGAGCAAAAAGCGGAATCACGGCTGTTAAACTGTGTTCTATGAATTATTCAGAGTCGACATGTGTATGGCTTTTTTCTGTCGTATTTAAATATTCTTTTTTTCTTTCTCCCATAGGCATCCTCTGTTCCCTCTGCTAGCACTGATATTTGAAAAGTGTGAACTGGCCACGTGTACCCCCAGGGAGCCCGGTATAGCTGGCGGAGATGTCTGCTCGTCTGAATCTTTCAATGAAGACATAGCTGTCTTCGCCAAACAGGTAAGAGCTGAACAGTTTGTTATACTTAGTTTAGCTAATGATATGGTAGCTTAATCTATACTGTAAAAGAGGAAAATTGAGCCAAAATGTGTCAAAATAGCTCAGAAAAAGTCGAATTAGTAAATCTCAGCATATTCTGATTTTTTAAGCAAAACTGATTGTTCCAAAAATGATATGGGGAAAAAAATATGTTAGAGAGGCGTTTGTTGGATTCGAACTAAGGACCTCTGGGTTTGTTGAAAATTTTTTAAATCTCCATAATAGTACAACTCAGTCCCGGGAGAGTTAAGAAGCTATATACAGGTTTATTCGTAATTCCCTCTGTTTACTACAATCTTATATTTACTACAACTGGCTTCAGTGGTACATGTTACTGCCATCTACCGGCAACTGCTTAAATTAAAACCTGAATACCGGAATAATTTCATATGTTCTTTTTTGCCATATTCGTCGTCTATATGAATAACTTTGTATTTTCCATACATTTAAATTTTTTAAAGATATAGCGATTTAAGCAAAAAGGAAAATTAAAGTTACCGGTATCCTAAGCTATTAGAACCATTTTTTTTATAAATTGTAACCCATTGTGCCATTTATATTAGAAATTAATATGTCAAAATGTGTTATTATAGTGGCCACTATATAAAGCTTCTTAACTCACCCTGGACTGGGGTGTGTAACTGTGGTGGTTAGAACATCTTAATACGAACCTGGAGGTTTTTGGTTCCAATCCTGCCGGCAGGCCACGAGTGTCTTTCTCGCAAATTTTCCCCTCTGTATGCATGTTGCTCAAAATTGAGTATATGCTTTTTCAATTTTGAATGCACGGGTTTTTTAAAATTTGACTGTTATTTGTTTCGGAGTTATTTCACCAACTGTTATTTGTTTCGGAGTTATTTCACTAACTGTTATTTGTTTCGGAGCTATTTCACCACGTTTTTGCTCAATATTGCAAATCCCTTTTTACTGTGTAACAAGTCACTTGCCTCTGATACTATGTGCACATTTCAAATAAGATCTAATCGTTCATTTTAAATTCCAGTAAGAACTTTTTCGTTTTGTATGTGGTCCTTAGTCTTTAAATAACTTTTTAGAGAAAAGAAGCAAAACTGATCCTAATTCAGTGATGCCTTTATGGCCTCAAGAAGTTTTTAACTCTTAGCAGATTAGAAAAAAAAAAAGCTTTCAGGTCAAAAGATCAAAAGATTTCTGATGAAAATATGGTCTCGATTTTTTACCTGGCATACCTGGGGTAATCAGCGATTTTTTTTTCTTTCTGAAATTGAATGGGAACCCTGTTATAATTCCCTTTGTTTATAAAAACTGTTAAAGAAAATAAACATAAGTAATGTCAATCCATTAATGATCCTTAAAAAACATTAGCTGTGAAATAAAATAAACAAAATTGATTGTTGATTCATCAATATTCATTAAAAAAAAATCGTAGCCTTTTAAAGCTAAAAAAAAAGTATTGAAAAAATGAACGGAACTGGTATTTGGAGTTAAATTCCTTCTTAGCTTTTTATAGGAGTTGGAAAAAAAATTACTGTAGGTCTTAAGTATATTTTCTAAATTTTAAAACAGATAATATTAGTTTCAGAATACTTCTGTAAATTCACATTGTAGATAGCATTTTTTATCTTTTTCCTTTGCATAAATTCATAATTCATAACTGTCCCTTTGTAATTTCGTTTGTAATTTTCTTACAAAAAAATATTTTTAATCTCTTGATCAGTTATTGAGATCTGAGAAAATTCAGTTAGAATATTCCTCGTCTGTCTGCTGATTACGGCAAAATATATCAGTTAATGGAAGTCTCTTAAAATACATAAATTGTTTGTTCAAAAAACAGCTGCTTGTAGTAAGCTTTATATTTTTCTTTCATAATTCGGAACATTTATTAATCTGAATGTGTCATAAAAACCTAAACCAATGTTGACTTTCTAAAGTGAAGTTTTGATTAGTAATTGAAGTTGAAGATTCAGCATCTATTTCGTCTAATTCATTGCTGATACAGCTGCCGGTCTATTACCAAGTCCAAGTTTTCTCAGAAATCGATATTTTTTTTTATTAATTGAATGGATTGTCTTTATTTACATTTTAACATAATTTTGTCATTGTTAAAATTTTTAAATTCTGTGGCGATTTGGCTTTTATCAGAGGATAACTATCATCTAGTTTTTACTTAGAAGATTAATCTACTGGATTTCAGTAATTCATCCATTAGAAGTTATAACACTAGTAAGTTTTATTACCTGAATTTTAAATAGCATAAATTTAGATTTATAGTTTAAAAGCAAACATTTGTTTGAAAAGGAGTAAAATTATTGCTTCAATTACATTAAAATTCTTAAGGAAATTTTAAACAAATGATACTTGGCGCTTTTTTTTCTATTTTTGAGGCAAATTTAATTGAAATTCAGGATAAAAAGTATGGCCAGATAAAATTTAGTATTGTATATTTTAATTTTTCATAAGATTTTACATCATTTCATACTAACTTTTAATTTGTTTCGGAAATTTTCAAATTTTGATAATTCTCTTCTTTTACTGCATCAATTTTTTTTTTATTGTTAAGTATCGTAAATTAAGCCGGCTTTGTCAATTTTTTAAAAATGTTTTTCATAGATCCTAAAAGCTCCTCAAACAAACAATTAACGTCTATCGTCACTTTGATTTTGAGAATAATTGTCTTCTCTATGGTTTAGTTAAATTAATTTCTATTATTTAATTTTATTATATAATTAAATTATATTATTTATTTAAGATTTTTTATTTTAAAAACAGCAATCTAACTAGCAACTCAACGATTTACAAAATTTGCTAGAACTTATAAAGCTTTCAAGAGTCGATACAAGTCTTGTATTTATAAATACGAGTTTTAGTTTATAAGTTAAGTTTAGTTACATGTTTAGATAGTTATTCAATCAACTGGTAATTTTTATTATGATTCTTCTTTACAGAACTTTACGATTATTTACTTTTGATTGTAAATTTTCATTTTAAAATTTTGATTTCCCAGTTATTTAATGGCTCTTGAAACTTATCAGAATTTTTTTACTTTTAATAGAGGTTTTTCAATTAAAAAAACCTTACATCTGATTCATAACTGCATAGCTTGAAAAACTTGATAGGTTTCATTTGATATTTTTGATGCCTTTATCATGATTCTTCTTTTAAAAATTTTCACTAAAAAGTCATTAGTTTTTGCTGTTTTCTGGAATTAAGATATTTTAATTTGAGTCTTCGTTTAAGAGCCTTATGACTGGCTAGTAACTTATTGAATTTAAAAACTGCCAGAACTTATGTATGGTTGATAATTTTAGCCACGATTCTGCATTTAAGAATATTGATTGAATAGCATTTTAATGGATTTTGAAACTTGCTAGAGCTTTGATACTTCTAACTATAATTCTTAATTTAGGAACTTTATGACTGCCAAGAAACTTACGAGTTGCTAGAGCTTAGTTACAATTGATTTTTATAACTGTAGTTTACCATTTAAAAAGTCTAATGACTGACTAGCGAAAAGGCTTTACAATATGAAAATAATTCTGGAAAAGTCACCTATCTATATGGTAATGACATTTCTGGTAAAAAATTATACTTGTAATTTTGGTTAATAAAACCAAAATATTTGGTATTTAAACCATTCATTTGGTAATTTTCCGTTTATATGGTAACATTTTTCTGAAAATTCTGGTTATCAAAATTATAGTTCTTATTACCTCACATTAAAAAAATACGAAACCAAAAAAAAATTAAAAATAAATTTAATGGTTTAAAAACCAAAAAATAAATTAAAGGATTTTTATGCTATGTTCTAAGGTACGATAAAATGACCAAATTTTTATTACATTTACCAAATTTAATCACATATTATAAAACTATAGCTATACAAAAATTATTACCAAAGGACACCGGTAAACATAATCTAGCTTTTTGGAGTTTTCATAGAGCCGAAAATAAAGCAATTTTACCATATTCTGGTAGTTTTGACTCTCTGGGTAGAACTAATTTAAAAGCTAAATGATTTAAAACCTTATATTTGTTATGTTATTGAAAAGATAGTCTCTTTTTGCCATTTAAATGCAGAAATAGTATTGTTAATTGTTGGTCTGAATTTTACATAGATCGATTATCGACTGAAATGAGATCGATGTTTTTAATTGCATTCCTTTTCATTTAAAATCTTTGTGACTGAACAGTTAGTTAACGGTTGAAGAACCTTTGCCGAAACTTAACTTGAAATCTTAAAGAGCAGGTTCGAGTCACTTTAATGTATGCAGATAGCGTTCATGGCCAAATGAATGAAGCAGAAACTCTTTATCTATTCTTTTCTCGCCAAGTCCATTAAAGATTTTAATAAATGAGCTCTCGATGAAAATGAAGCCTTCCCTTTTAGCGCCGCGAAATAGATATACCCGTTGTCTGTCCCACACCACATCTATGCATAATGTGATGAGTTGAATGCATTAGCTGCCCCCCTTAATTCATTTTTAACTCGGACACACACACTCTTCAAGTTCTCATCTTGAGACGATGAAATTTCGAAATTTGGTTTCTTAATGACCCGCCTCCAGAGTGTTTGGCTGGTTTTATGTGTTTGTTGAATTTCGAACGCTGTTGCTATGGTTTTGTCATTTAGAATTGTTGGTTGATTGATGTTTCGTAATTTGCATATGTATGTTAGCAGCAATTTAAAAAGATTGCTGGTATTTATGCGCAGTCTTCCATGCAAATGATGCTTGTAGTGCACCAAGACGGTTTGACGAAATTCTGGTAATCTAGAGCACCATGGACGATTCTTTTCCTCTATGATGCTCCAATATCCAATTCAAGATGTAGCCGAAATATTAATGAAATATTGTTTGCTTAAAAACATGGTTTTGATAGAACTCTACTATTATTACTAACTATAACAATTAATGAATTTAATATTCATTAACATTCATAAGAGGAAGAAGAACCACCAGTACATTGTTAGAATTTTCTTTCTG